TCAACTGACATTGATACAGCTAGGAAAATATGTAGAATCTGGGAACCTCGGTCGGTTACCCTTCCAGATCGACGAGCCTTTCCCTATCTCCTCCCCTTTCCCCCTCTCACCGTCCCACCCGAACGGTTGGGTAGGGTAAATATATACTCAAACTATACCACGATACTTGAAATGAGAAAGTCCAGTGAGAGAAATCCGCATCTAGAGCAGCACAGGTTAACTCCAATAATTCATACTTTCCTTCCGAAGCGCTGGAAGACGAATTGTGAGTAGCGACTTCCCAGCACTTTTCGCTTCAGGGAAATCATAGAATCATATCATAAAAATCATGGAATCATGTCATAGAAAAAAGTGGATCCAATCCTTCTTTTTGGGTTGTGCTCGGTTTCAGAGCATTCATCAAAGGTTTGATCCAGCAGCATGCTTCTGTGGCAGTGAGCCACTTGCCGCTGCGACATTTGCGCCCTACATGACTAGCACAATATGGTTTGAAAAACTAAAGTGATCCTTGAGATGAGTGTTCCTCATCAAAGCCAAACCAGAGCGTTTCAAGCAAAAATGGCCTCTGATCTGAATAATCACTCTATTACAGGAGCCGAATTTATTTCGAATCTACTACGATTTCGAAGAATAATCGGTTGCATGGCTCGCACTTTGCAAAGGTAATTAGTACCGAAAGAATCTTTTGTTCATGTGTTACTTGACATTTACCATAGTTCCAGCTCCCTTCACAGAGGGCAGTATCTACGTAAATGGTCTGAGAAGCCAATCAACCATTAAAGGAAACCTTATCTGCCCAAGATTCTGAGGAGACCACTACAAGGAGTCCTTCCACGGTACAGAACCAGGATGGATCTTGTGAGACAAGCATTCTCGCCGAGAAAGAAAAAAAGAAGAGAAGCAAGTAGGGTGACTGTGTCTGAGAAAAAAAAATGGACAACGAAGACTATTCGAAGGACTATAGACTGTGAAATTATTCAAGAATATCAATGCTATAGATCGCCCACGAAATTTGCATCTATCTGTTCACTTGTGCCAGTTCTACTCCCACGATATACATAAAATTCCCAAAGTTTACAAGTATTTCAATACCGTAGCACATTCCCTTTTCAGGAGAGAGACGGAGAATTGTCAGAAGTCTTTCAACCGAATAGCAGAGCAACATAAAAAAGGAAATTAGAGGAAGAAATAGAAGTCGATGTAAAACATAAGAATATAAAAACAGAAAATTCGAGAAGCTCTATACATTTTTGAATAACAGGGCGAGATTGGGGGCCTAGCAGGTCGATTCGATTTTCCTATACGATGTAGAGATCAGACCACTATTTCGATCTCTTCCAAGAACGTCCGTCCCTTTGAATTGGAGTGACACCTGGATTCTCCCAGTTTAAGCCTGGCCCTGTGACAAGGAAAAGCTTCTTTCCTCCTTCACACCTACCCAGTTCAAGAGGAAAAGAATAATTATTAATTAATTATACATCTAATCGCTGGGGTGACCGCAAAGTGAAAACGGTATTCATCAAACTAGAGGACGGATAAGTTTGGACGTTAGGGTACAGTCCACTGCACGACTAGAGGGCAGAAGCAGAAGCATCGGTGGTGAGTTACCCTGGCCGCCGTATGTGCAGATGCACGTCCACTCTTTACCACAAGCGGATACTCACTTACGTCAAGCAGTTTGCTTTAAGCCAGCAAATAGTATATTTCTGGCTACCGAATTCCGTCTTCTTCATCTCATCTCCAGTGTCCACTAGCCCTGTAGAGGGCCTTGTACCCCTGTACCCTGGGATCGGTGGGACGAATGTTCTCCAAAATTAGGGTCCATGTCGCCACTACCGTTTCATCGAGACTCTGCTTTTTTTGAAAGGGAATCAGCTGCGTTTCGGAGATTCCTAACATGCCACAACTTTTTTCATTATGGTTCGCAGTTGGAGAAGAGCATAGCATGAATGAGTGACTGACCCTTGGAGGTTTCATCGGTCTGCCATGCTAACATTTCCAATCACTGCCGGCTAAACTCCATCAGGAGTTCTCAAACTACAAATCGAAAATCAAAAGTCAACCAATCGATTGATGTTGAAGAAAGATGAGAAGCTGACACATAATGAATGTTGTTGTTGCTGAATTGTTGCGTCAGTCGACTCATAATAGCAAAGAAAATGAGCGATGGCGCCTCTCTTAACTTCTAGTTTAAGTAGTGATTGTTTTGCTCAGTCTTCTAGGAAGTGTTAGAATTCGTCACATCGACGTTTGGGTAATGACCACTTCTTTCTTCAGCCAATTTTCAAAGCTTCGAAAATCATTTCCTTGGCTTCTATTACGATTCCAAGGAAAAGCATTGAAGCATGGAAGCGATGTCAAAGGCATTCTGAGTCCTCATCGTCGTCAATGGAGGAAGAGTAAGGGATTACTTCAACATTATCACCTCACCTGGAACCTTTCCCTCATAGAACATTCTGCTGTTGTGCTTTTACTGCATACCTCAGACTGTTAGTCTAACTGTACTTACAAAATACAGTCAACTCGAAGAAAAAGATCGCGCGAGAGTGTAAACGCATTTTAAAGACCCTTAGAAGTGACGACGGTTCAATTAAAGAAGAGCCGTTATGGTGATAAGCGAAATAAAATGATGCTCAAAGGAATTAAAAGATGCCGTAGAGTGGCTGGAGACGAGGGAAGAATGAAATACTCCATTTTTGAAAACCATCTCACTTCAAAGTGATTAGATGCTCATCATGAGAAGGACAGGCATGGTCAAGCATGGCATTGTGGAACATGCTCCGACCAGGACAGCTTTCCCATCCCTTTCCCCTTCTCTCCTTCCCTCAGCCGCACATTTTCGTAAAAAATCCTTCCCTAGTATTTGGAACCGTTTCAAACTCCAAAAAAGGAAGACGAGAGAGGGTGATGAGAATATACATGGCGGCTCAAACAAAGGTCTTCAAAAGCCATCAATCATTGCATTCTCTTGGACTCAGCTGAACAAGAAAAATCTACGTAGTTCCTATAATCTGTCACACGCCCTTGTCCCTGGTAAAGGGAATTCTATCTGAGGTTTACTTCTTTGCAAGTAGAGCGGCTCGAGCTCCCTCGGTTTTTTCAACCTCTCGCTACACTCGAGAAAAAGTTGCGGAAGGGCCTTCACGATCGTTGTCATTCCCACTCGGTAAGGTCGATGGACAGCATGACATTTCTAGCATGCTAACGTAGGAGGTTAATAGACCGCTTGAAATGTCATTTTCAGTGATCAGCCCCATTGCCGACAATGTCATGAGAAACGCCAGCGTGGGAATGGAAACGATGAAATTCAAAAGTCCGTCCCAACAGAGCGATCTGAATTCTGAATTTGGGGAGAATTGTTCCCTGGCGGGATGAAAGGGGAACTTTCTGCATTGCTGTAAACAGTCAAACTTTCGAAAGTCCCTGATGGCTTCCTTCTCGAGCAACCAGGTTTCTTTTCCTCGGTTTGATTTCTTCGGGTCTTTCAGGTCTGAGAGGATGAAAGCACTAGCTTGAACATCGATAGGTTTTATAATGTTTGGGTACAGTTAAGTTTGTACGCTTTCAAATTTCTAACATCTCCACTGAAAACCTTATGCCATCGTAAAATCTTCACTTCCTCCTCCAGAAAACAAATTAGTTTTACATAAATGTGCCTTAATAATGGATATAGGGGCAAGTTGTTGACGTTATCAACTCCGTCCGAGTGATGCGCCCCGCACTCGACTCCCATTCGGGTTCGTAGTGGCGTATTGAATTCGTATGTC